GTAAAATCTTATTACATACGTAATAATCTTATTACATATTAATGAGGAGAGGAGGAAAACTCAATCCATCTGAACCCTCAGTGGAAATCCAGAATATCAAGAATAAACTTTTTGGATGTCTTTTCCTTGAATGTCCCCATCAGAGACAACATGAACAGTTTATTTCCAGAAAGCACATTGCATACCAGAGGCCCCTTCCATTAAACAGAAAAAAACCCAAACATTTCTCTTTTTTTAGTGAGGCCTGCAAAAAATCAACTCCTCCCCCCCATCCCGCTGCTGTGCTCCAACTCCTGCCAAATTGGAGGCAGGACTTTCTATTATTATTAATGTTTTTGGAATGCCTAACTCTGACTGCTCTCAACGCAATGTTTGTAGACGTTTTCCTCCTGAAACATCGCAAGAGACAAAACAGGGGAGCTTGGAAAAAGGTAAAAAAACCAAGAGAAAAACATTCCTTTTTATGTGTTAAGTTTGTTGTTGTTAAATTGCTTATTTTCTGGGATGGTGCCTTTTTTTTTTTTTACCCCCCTCTAAAAGCTGGTTCTGATTTTCCTCAGATTTCAGTTCTTCTCCCTTGCCGAGTGACTCTATTTTAGGGCCAGGGATTGTGAAACTGGGAGAAAGGAAACATCTGGGCTGATGGCAAGTTTTTTGCGTAGCGTATTTGAGGGAGGAGGATAATGGCTGCAAAAGTGGGAGGGAAGGGATAAGGACTACTATTCCGGAGAGAAAAGGGAACGAAATGAGACTTGCTTCTTTTTGGGGTTCTACCAGACAACAAACCAAACTTTGTAAAGTTTTTCTAGAGAAGATTCCAAATTGTGGTGGCTTCAATGAATGCCGAGAAAACAGCTCAATTTCAAGCGTGTTGAATTGGCCCCTCCAGATTTTGCTGTGAATTCCAGCTTTTGAGCAGCCGCTAAGCTCAATAGTGGAAAATACAAGAAGTTCTTCTTGTTGGTCCTAGAGAGATGTTGAGGCCACCTTCCCCATCATCCATTGCTGATCAGATGGGATGGATCCTCAGCACACCTGGGAAAAGCCAGCCTTTTAAACTATTCATTGGTTTTGTGATTGTTCTTAGCTTAAGGGAGAGAAAAACAAACGTGAAGCACAGGTTCTAGTTTTTCCAGGTAGCAGGCCAAGTGGTTAGGATTTGAACTGGTGATTAGGACTTGAGAGAATTCAGGGGAGGGCCTCTTACAGAATCAGAATTTAACTACAGCACCCTAGAAATCCAGGGTGCCAGGGTGAAGACCCTTAACCAGCCTTCTCTGTCACTGAAACAAAGAAAGCATTGGTTCTCAACCTGTGGGTCGGGACCCCATTTGGGGTCGAACGACCATTTCACGGGGGTCGCCAAACAAGGCTGTCTGCCATTTTTTTCCCCTTTTCTTTGGCCACACCCCTGGCACCCGGTAATGTATAAGTGGTTAGGGGTCACCACAACATGGGGAACTGTATTATGGGGTCGCGGCATTAGAAAGGTTAAGAACCACTGATATAAAGCAATAGAATGCCAGAGCATTGATACGGGTGCTACCCACTCCTCATGAAGCCCTCTTTGAAGGTAGAACCGAACATAACTTAATAGAATAACACAGTTGGAAGGGACCTTGGAGGTCTTCTTGTCCAACCCTTGCCACAAAGAAGAGGGGGGGGGGTTTCCATTATTCACCAAAGCACCAGAGGGAAGGATGAGAAACAATGATTGGAAACTGACCAGAGAGAGAAGCAACCTGGAATTAAGGAGAAACTTCCTGACAGTGAGGACAGTCAACCAGTGAACAGCTTGGGTGCTCCATCACTGGAGGTTTTTAAGAAGAGACTGGACAGTCACTTGTCTGAGATGGTATAGGTTCTCCTGTTTGAGCAGGAGGCTGGACTAGAAGACCTTCAGAGTTCTATTCTATTCTATTCTATTCTATTCTATTCTATTCTATTCTATTCTATTCTATTCTATTCTATTCTACTCTACTCTACTCTATTCTATTCTTTCAGTCAAATGGCTGTCCAATCTCTTCTTAAAAACCTCCAGCGCTGGAGCACACAAAACTTCTGGTGATAGTCTGAAGGTCATCAACAAAATATATTGCACTAGGGGAGCCATAATTTTCTGAAGGCGTGCATGGCAAGTCTCCAGTTCTACATCTGGGAAAGAAGACTTCTTCTTAAGCAGTCCACGGAAAACAGTTCAGTTGTGTTAGCGGCAACCAAAATTTGTAGCCTGAATTCCAGGATGTGGTTAATAGAAAAAAAACCGTACAAGAAGACCTGACGTCCTGACTTTACCTTTACTTTTGAGCTGCCATGTTCTACTCCCAAACTCCATATATTGGGATAAACTCAGAAGGAGGTCACTGTCCTTGGGGAATGCGAAAGAAGAGAGTGTTGTTGGAAAGGTGTTGTGGTGAGGTGTTGATGATCTACCAGAAAATTCTTCTTCTTTTAGCTATAAAGTCATCCTTTTTACGGCAAGGCACATCTTCAGCTAGACATGTACTAGTTGGCCGAAGATAACTTCTTCCCAATAGAATTGTGAAATTGTGAAATTGTGAAACAAGACAACAAAAGAAGCACACTAATTCGGAATAGATTATGGCCCTGTTTCACAATCTTGGTGACTATAAAATGTGTGGACTTCAATTCTCAGAATCTGCCGGCTGGAAAATTCTGGGAGTGGACGACAACACATCTTAAAGTTGCCAAGGCTGAGAAATGGGAATGCTTCCTTGAGTCTGTGTGTTTACAGGGCTAAACCAGAGTTGATTAATTAAGCAGCACAGGGTTGGTTGGATTCACACAACATGAAAATAACATGGAAATAAACCTCATGAACCTACTCTTAAAATAAGAGAACTGGTACAGGAAAATTATAAATTGGATGCTATGTTACTTAAGTTTTATGTCTTGGCCTACACAGTCTATGCAAAGGATGTATTTCATAATAATTTTAAAAATGCAAGGATCTTTTCTTGATTAAAATTGAATTGAAAGGTTGAAGGACATCCAGATAGGAAATAAATGGAAACGAAACTGATGTACCTATGCAACGGACATTCCTAGAAGGGTTGGAAGGGACTTTGGAGGTCTTCTAGTCCAACCCCGTTTGAGTGGAAGACCCTACATCCTTCCAGACTGGTTGTCCATAAGCTGGCAATAAAAATAGTGTTCCTTGCTAGCTGCAATATAGTTTTGATTGTCATAGTTTTTTAACTATTATCACTTCATCCATCCAGTGTTGCTGGAATGATTTTTTTGCAGATCTCCAAGACAAATTGAGGATGAATTTGCTATCACATACAATTGCTGGGCAGAAGTCTTGATACCAGATTTGTTAGATTACCCAACTCCAGATTGGTTCTCTCCACTCAACAAAAGAAAGTCCCATCAGGTGGTGCCCTTGTTCAGTCTGAGGTGATACAACACAGCTATAGGCTGATGGTTGGGTTGGATTAGATCTCAGAAGTATGGAAGATAATCTCCCCTGTTATTGTTTTACAGCTAAATGGGGAGAAAGCAATGGATCCCTTCACCTGCTTGCTAACTGCACTGCTCTTTGTGGGGATCCAGAGCTGTCCAGAAGTGTGTCGGTGTGCAGCCAAGAAGAAATACGAGCGATATGTTGCAGACTGTTCTTACCAAGATCTCCAGATGGTTCCTCAGGACTTCTCCTCCAACACCACCACCCTCACCCTGTCTGTCAACCACATTGCCTCATTGGGGGAAGAATCCTTTGCCAACACGGCAAAACTACAAGGTTTGTGGCTCTCCTACAATGAAATTGACACCATTGCTGAGGGCACCTTTGCTTGTTTGGTACACCTCCGAGCGCTTGATCTCAGTCACAATCAGATAATGAGTTTCCCCTGGGGAGACCTATCCAACCTCACCTCTCTGCAACAGCTGAAGCTCAGCAACAACCATCTGGAGAAAATCCCACCAGAAGCCTTTCAGTCCCTTAAGGACCTTCGTTCTCTCTGGCTCAGTGACAATAGGCTGGCTACTCTCTCGGATGGGACCTTCAGTTCCATGCCTAAGTTAGCTCAGCTGCAGATCAACAACAACCCCTTTGACTGCACCTGTAAAATTTGGTGGTTAGATGGATGGCTACAGAGCACGCTGGTTTCACTTCCAGAGAAGAAGTCCATTACATGTGCTACTCCGGAGAAACAGAAAGGTCTCGTTCTTGGGAGATCCTTGAAGCTGGACTGTGCCCTTCCATCAGTCCAGTTGGTCTATCATTCCAGCCTGGGTGATAGCAAGTTGAAGGATGGGCTTACCCTTCAATTGCACTGCAACGCCGTGGGTAAGCCCCCACCAAAGATCAGGTGGAAAATCCAGACAGCTGATCAACATGTGGCCATCGATGGGCCCAACATTGAAAGAGAAGAGGATTTGTTGCTAGATCCTGCAAGTTCTTCACAGAGCAGAGGGCGCTTTCTGGTCTTCAAAAATGGATCCATGGCCGTCACCAAATTCAGCAAGGCCAGTGAAGGCATGTATACTTGCCAGGCCTATAACGACGTTGGCTTTCATGAGGCCTCTGTCCATGTGGCTTTGGCCGGCTCCGAGAAGCCCACCACTTTCCTCAAGAACCATCTCCAAGCCAGCAAGAACCCAAACAAAACTTGTGACATCAAAGAAGTCCTGACATCTCAAGAAAATGTGAAGTTTATCTATTTGACTCCTACAGTGCCCAAGACGGTTTGCAATGGAGGAAATCAAAGCCCGCTGGGTTTTTGGAGTTTATTCCTGTTCTTCTTGCTTGCCCAGGACAGTTAAGACATTTGCCATCTGGGATTGTGTAGAAAATCTGATTTCCTTCTACAGTATGGCCCATGGCAGCTTTTAGTTTAGGTCAACGTTTCACACTTCTGTTCTAGATCAAGAATCTTCGTTTGAACTGGGGCAGGTTTCCCTATATCCTCAAGTAAGAAAAAAAAAACAGGTGGATAATGTGAGAAAAAAAAATTAAAAATGCTGATAGGCAGCCCTTTGATCAGGCAAGTCAGTTTTATTAGTTATATTTTTTTTTTAAAGTCCCAACATTGTCAAAACAACTTCTTCATCAAATGCATCCTTCCAGCGTTCGACTTCCAGTAGGCCAGAAGAGATGCAGAAGAGGTACAGGAGGAGGAGAAGAAGAAGCACACCTTCTCCAAGAGACTAACAATGACATTTCATTTATTATTCATCGTAGTAGAAATCAGGTTTCTGTACTCTTTAATTACTCTACATTCACTAGGTGTGTGGAAGTCATCTGGCCAGATCCTGAAATGGGAGCTGTTTTAAATTTAAAGGCGATGGGAGGTATTCCCTAGTTGGTTTAAAGATTAGGAGAAGCAGCTCCATAACTTGGCAGGAAGAGGGACACAACTATGTAGGATTTTCTCAATGTAACCTATCAGAACTGGAGGGATTAAAATGTCCGAAATGTGTTTTTTCTCTCTCTTGTGCCTATATTTTGATTGTCCAGTTTCTTGTTCTCTATATTTAAAACCTTTTAATTCCACTGAAGAATAGCAGCCATCCATCTAGACAACCTGGAACAGTGTATTTGGGAATTTAAACAAGATAAAGCGGTCTGTTCAATGCATTTATACAAATTCTCCATCTCAAACACCACCCACCCCTAACATTCAAAAAGAACCCATTACTTACATTTGCAAAACCCTCAAAAATCCCCATTTTGAGGACCACTCCGATCTCCGTTCTGCTTTTAACTTATTAGCCTACCGTCCTTTGCTTTCTTTCTTGCTAAAAGTGAGCCCCCAAGATTTAGGGGGCACCCAGCACTTCAGGAGGCCTCAAAACCCAAGATGTATGAAAGGGCAACATTGACAGGTTTCCCATATTAAAAAAACAAACAAACAGGAGGACACATGCTAAGGAACATCTTGTAATGCAGAGAAACAGACCAGCTTTGGATCCATTCCAAAACTTTGCATGGGTTTCATGCCCATCCAAGGTTGTTTGTCCTGAGGTGGGGTGGGGTGGGAGAGGAAGGGAGGACAACTAAGCCTCAGTCATCTTCTAAGTCTACAAACAGGTCAAGGTAGATGCATAAGCCCGAAAGAGGCATAGAACTTGAAAAACCCCAAGATGAAAACTCGTGATGGAATCCATCCATCATCTCCTGATGGGAGTCCATTGTTTCCAAGACCGCTTGCTGGTTCCATCAAGGCTTGGTGAGGCTGCCTTTGGTCCCATTAGCTGTTGCATCCACAAGAGCCCCTTTGCGGTAAGGCAATAGGGAAGGGTTGTTGATGAGGGTATATGCCAAGCACCATCGGACCCGGTTCTGTTGGCCCTTTGATGCTTTGGGTGCTGAACTGGTGGTCTTCATGAGTTTGATTCCTGTTGAGAAAAGAATCACGTTCAAACGGAGGTCTTCAAAGGTTATGTGGGGGGTCAGCTTGAAGATAATCAGGAAAGAAGAAGGAGAGAGTAAGCGGTGAGTATAATTTGATAGGTTTGTTTCATGAGATCTGATTCCAGACTTTAAAAAAAAAACAAAAACCTTGTAAGTTAGAGAAGTAAGATTTTTAAAGCAGGATACAGATGCAGAAGAGAGATGAAGAAGAAAGCAAGGCAATTATTATTATTATGATTTGGACTTATTTCTCTCGAGTGTTTAATACAGGTAGTTCCCAACTTACAATAGTTTAGTGGTGGTTCAAAGTTACTAAAAACGTGATTTATTACCATTTTTCAGACTTACGACCTGCAGGGTCACGTGATCAAAGTTCAGATGCTTGGCAACCAACTCATATTTATGACGATTGCAGTGTCCTGGGGTCACATGGTCCCCCTTTTGTGACCTTCTGACAAGCAAAGTCAATGAGGGAAGCCAGATTCGCTTAACAACAGTGTTGCTAACTTAACAATTTCAGTGATTCACTTAACAACCGTGTCAAGGAAGGACATAAAACGAGGCCAAACTCAATAACTGTCTTGCTTAGCAGCAGAAATTTGGGGCTGAGTTGTGACCGTAAGTAGAGGACTACCTGCTTACATCTATTTCAAAGGAAAGCTTGGAGCGACTATGGCAGCTGATGGTCCATTTTTCTCCATCTACCTGTCCCAGCTTTCCATTCATTCTGCTCCTGGACTTGGTCCTCGGCTGATCCCTTACCTTCTTCTGCATCTCTGAGTTGTAGGGTCTGCATATTTTGGTCGCTTTGCCAGCGGAGAAGCACGAGGCAAAAGGCTTTCATTACTGGGTGGGATTGGCTGACCTCAATTTTCAAATATTGGCAGTAGGTACGGTAACCTGCGAGAAAGAGACGGAGGGTGGTGACGTCGGTGGAACGCAGGGAAGAGGAGAGAGGGGAGAGGTTAAAATTGCAGCACATCAGTCTAGACATGTACAAAGACACGACAGGCAAGAAGGCAAAGACATGAATGACAAAGGCATCTTGTGAAGCTCTCTCAACTTCATTTCATGTCTCTCCAAAAACAACTTTTAAGGCTGCCCATAAAGTTGATAAAAGGTTATATGATAAATGTCTTTTAATGCAGGGGTCCCCAACCCCTGGTCTGTGGACCGGTACCGTGGGCCATGGCCTGCCAGCAACCGGTCCGCACAAGCAAGCAAAGCCCCATCTGCGGGATGCAGGCAGCACACAAAACCACGCCCCCTCTGGTCCGCAGAAAAACCCCTTGCCATGTAACCAGTCCCTAGTGCCCAAAAGGTTGGGGACTTCTGCTTTAATGGAGGTGTTCCATAGTGTCCTAACCCAGGGGTCCCCCACCCCCAGGCTGCGGCCTGTTTGAAACCCGGCCGTGTGAGTGGAGGCTGAGCGTGTGCATGCATGCAAAGCTCCCCTCACATGTAAAACTCCCCTCAAGCAAGTGGTGGCAGCTTGTGCGCAAAACTTCCTTGGCTCCATTTGTTGAGCTGCACACCCTTGTGCACACCCACCTACCACTCACAGGGAACCATCCCGTTTCCCTCCCTGCCAGGCTGCCAAGCCAGAAAGACTGGGGACCGCTGTCCTAACCTATTTAACCTTAGTCAGTCCGCTGAGTTCCCACAGACCAGGTTGGATGAGTTTGCATATTGCAGTAGTCCCACAGGTGCTTTTCCCAAAAGGCAACTGGACTCTGTTGTTGTTTTTTTCTTTAAAAACATTTTGCTTTTCATCCAAGAAGCTTCTTCAGTTCTGGATGAGAAGTGAAAGGTTTTCAAAGAAAAAAAACAACAACCCAAAAAAGTCCAGTTGCCTTTTATGAAAAAAAAAAAAAACCCACTTTGGGACAAGCATGACCTGGATGATTGAGACTCTCCGTAGACATTTTGCCCTAGGTTGCAACCGAACAAATCTACATGGGCTTCATATGACGTATGAACAAAGCTTTAGGCATCCTGAACAAGAGGGAGGGATGCAGTCAGGGCAAAAAAGGCTGGTTGGGGTGTGTATGTGTCTTGTATTCCTTACCTGGATCAAACCTCTCCACTCCACGGTTCAGTAGACTCCCATCCAGCTGGCAGAAATGAACAATGTTGTACAGAGCTGAGATCACCATTCTCCAGATTCCTGCCATTAACCCCAGGAGCACATTGATGGGGAAAAACATGTACGTCACAATGTAAAAGGCTCGCCTGCATAAGAGGGAAGCAGAGGCGGTCATGAGTAAAGCACACAAAAGCGCCCACACATATACACAAATGGGTTGCAACGATATAATAATGAATGTTCAGGTAACATCAATACCAATGACAATGGCTCTCCATATTAACATAATTCCTTCTTGCGTAAAACTTTTATGTTGGTGGAAGTTTTTAGGAGTTGTCAGAATATCTGAAGGGTTGGAAGTAGTAAAAAAAAACCAGGCCAAACCGATCAGATCTGCTCCAGAAGATAAAACCTAAAGAAGGGCCTTCAATTTACGAGGAAGTAAAGGATGATTGGCCATCAGAAAGATTTGGTGAAGGTATGAACTGTTCAACAATGGAATAGGTGACTCAGGAGGTGGTGGACTCTGTTTGCTGGAGGTGTGTAAAAGAGAGGCTGATGGGCATCTATCAAGGGTCTTGTAATATGGCATGGAGGTAATCGGGCCAGATAATCTGCAAGGTCTTTTCCAATCTTCCCTTTTTGTTCATCTCAAATGTAGTGTATCTCAAAAAGAGCATTATCTGTTCCTATAAATGGGCAGATGTTGCCAATCTGAGTGGTCCATTCTGGACTTGATAGTCAGGTGGTCCAATAAGGCCATCATTGATGCTTTTTTTTTCATTATTTTATCATCATTCATTGCAAAATTCCAGAACAGGCTAGGGATCTCAACCAGATGATCTCCAGATGATATACCAATATATTTGGTATATTTTATGATGGATGGTTTTCAATAATCACCTGTTGGTCAACTCTCTGGGTAGATGGTCTCGCTCCAGGAAGTAGTAGTGGACCAGCAGGTTCTGGGCGATGAATGAAACAATCAAGGTCAACCAGAAGGGCCTAGACAAAACCAAAATAATCCATCATTCAATGAATGAACATCCAATTTTCTTAAAGCAACAATTTAGGATATACTAGTTGTTCTAGTCATCACACTAGAAACAAATGCAGTGTTAGAGAAATGGGAAATGATTGCTCCCCTAGACCCAACAGCTACACAAAGAAACATTAAATAGATAGAGCTGAGCTTGGCAGTTTTTAGTTCATGGAGAAAAAAGTAGATAGTTCAACATAAGGGTCTGGCTGGCAGATAAATCATGTTACTTTCCAAGCTTGGCTCTGTGGAACACTTACCACAAGTTCACCACAATTTTGAAAAGATGCATGTTGCTGCCAGACTGCAGTGGGACAACAATCAGGAAAGTGAAACACACGATGCAAATGAAGAAGACAATGTGTTGGATGAGCAGAGCTGGGACAGAGACAAAAAGGTGCGGTGGGTTGCAAGGAAGATCACAGATGGACATCCGTTCTGATCTTGAGGATACCATCACCTCTTCCCAACTGCACTCATTTCACTTTTTGGCCCAATTATTGCTCAGAAAGTGGAGTATAAGGCCAGGAAAATAATAAAACTCCCTCAACACAAACTTGACTGGTGGCCAGGAGGACACATCCATGCAGTTTTCTTGGCAACAGTTTGGATGTGGTTTGTTCACATCTTCCAGCACATTCTTTTCAACTTACTACTCTCTATTCCCACCTTCTAAGGTGTGATTAGGGCTCCTCAGTTACCTAGGCACGCAAATGATATCTGGAAACCCGTGAATTGCATCCAGCATACGAGAGATTGCTGGGAAGGTTGGAGTTTACAGGAACGATAGAAAACCTTTTCAACAGCCCCTTGGTAGAGACACCGGAGATTAGTCCTGAAACACAGGGAGAACATGTGATCAAAAGGAGGAGGAGGAGGAGGAGGAGGAGATGTTTGGGCCTCTGAACCCTGGGAAGAAGCCTCACCTGTGGTTTCCCATGGACTTCAGCAACATGCAGAAGGTCACCATGCAGGAGACGACCAGGGACGAGATGAAGCACACTGCAAAACAGGACTGGGCAGAGAGGGATTTAGACAAAGGCTGCAGGATTCCTAAAAGCTTGCAGCTTTTTCAAGGGATCAAACCAAAACCCACCCAGATCTCAGTCGGAGTCAGGCAAATGAGGTGCAAATCTAGCTGTCAAGTTCCGACTAATGGAACACTTCAAGGAAATTCCAGGCATATTTATTCTGAAAAAGTCTTTAATCATGGACACATTGTCGGCACATTTGACTCTAGCTATATCTGATCTATAGCAGCTATAGGTTCTACATACTTTTCTAAATAGATGTTTCTATTTTTTTTTTCATCTCTCAGAACCTGTAGATTTATCTTCTTCAGCCTCTCTGTGTCCACGAGAATCGGCTCAGTATTGTAGCTACATTATCCAACAATAGTCCCAGTCTCCTGATTGTAATTTACATGTAGGTTTGTTACATGGTATGAGTTCTACTGTCTTTATAAAACCCATATTTTTTTTTAAAAAAAACATTGCAACGCATTGATAATCTGCCCAAAGGCAAGCAGAGATATCAACTGCTGTGGACCTTTAAACAAAGTATCTGCTCTCTCAGTTGCAGATGTTTTGTCAAAAGGGCCAAAGTTAATAGTAACTCTGTTCCCCAAGAATGATTGTAGGAATTGGGTATGTCTAGTTTAATGAAAAGCAGGACATGGGGTGACATGATAGCAGTGTTTCAATATTCAAGGGGCTGCTACGAAGAAGAGGGAGTCAAGCTATCCTCCAAAGCACCTGAAGGCAGGACAAGAAGCAAAGGATGGGAACTAACCAAAGAGAAAAGCAACCTAGAACTAAGGAGAAATTTCCGGACAGTGAGAACAATTAATGAGTGGAACAGCTTGCCTCAAGAAGTTATGGGTGCTTCATCAACTGGAGGCTTTTAAAAAGAGACTAGGCAACCATTGAACTGAAATGGCATAGGGCAGTGATGGCGAACCTTTTAGAGACCGAGTGCCCAAACTGCAACCCAAAACCCACTTATTTATTGCCGGGTGGGTGTGGCCCACTGGGTGGGCGTAGCTGTGGTGGTTATGGCAGATTGGGTGGATGTGGCCAAGGTGGGCATGGTCACCTTGATGTTGCTCGTGGGGAAGGACACGTGTGGGGGCCGGGCAGGGTTGGGTGAGATCCAGGGGGTCTCTGGCAGGTGGGGCAGTGGGCAGGAGGCTCATCCTGCAGGGTGAGGTGAGGCAAGGTGAGGCAGGGCAGGGGTGCCATTGTCGCAGGGCAAGGCAAAGCAGGGGCTGTGGCGGCTGCTGCCTGACACCATCGTCCCCCACACACAGAAGCCAGCGAGCACATGGGGGTCAACAGTGTCTATCAGGAGCCACAGCCTGCCGGCCCCTTGACTGGTGCACTCTGGGGCACCGCAGCCCGCCAACAGCAGTTCAGAGAAGCTGCCTCTGAGCTGGCTGACCGGCTGACCGCTGTGGAAGTGATGCAGTGGGTCGTGCCCAGGAAAAGGAGAGCATGCGAGACCAGGAGGGATGGGACAGGGGAAGGAAAACCAGCCGTGCTGGGATGCATCCGCCGACGTGGGACCTCGGTGAGTTAGCGGGCAGTTGCTTGAAGAAGGGTGGTTGCCATCTCCAGGGCATGATGCGTGTGCCCACAGAGAGGGCTCCGAGTGCCACCTCTGGCACGCTTGCCATAAGTTTGCCACCATTGGTATAAGATCTCCTGCTGGAGCAGAGGGTTGGACTAGATGACCTCCAAGATCCCTTCCAACTCCAATTCTGTTCTTTCCAAAAATGTTCCTTCAATTCTAGGCCCAGGAAGAACCAGGATATTGGGACAGCGAAGGGCTTAGTTTAGCCCAGTGGTTCTCAACCTGTGGGTCGGGACCCCATTTGGGGTCGAAAAATCATTTCACGGGGGTCGCCAAACAACGCAGTCCGCCATTTTTCCCCCTTTTCCTTAGTTGTGCTACTCCCTTTTATTCGATTGGCTTTTGAAAGCCAATAGAATAGACTCTCTTGAATAGAGTCTAATTCTATTGGCTTTTAAAAAGCCAATAGGAATTGTCCAGGCTGTCTCTGCCCTGCTGAGCCCGCCAAAAGTCCCATTCTGCAAACGGTGCTGCACCAGTTGAATAGTCCTCGACTTACGACCGGTTGAGTAGTCCTCGACTTACGACCGGTTGGGGGTCGCGACATTAAAAAGGTTGAGAACTACTGCTTTAGCTGGAGGTAACAGGAACAGCAGGCCATTGTGTGGTTGGGTTTGATACCCCCTTCTATCCTTCTTTGTAGTTTCCCTATGTCACTAGACCAGTGGTTCTTAACCTTTCTAATGCCGTGACCCCATAATACAGTTCCCCATGTTGTGGTGACCCCCAAGTGGGTGTGGCCACCAATAAAAGGGAGTAGGACAGCTAGGGAAAAGGGAAAAAAATGGCGGACAGCGATTTTTGGGGACCCCCATGAAATGGTCGTTTGACCCCAAATGGGGTCCCGACCCACAGGTTGAGAACCACTGCACTAGACCATCTGCTCCATGCACCTGGTTCTCAGACGTCTTTATGAGGGCAAAATCAGCAGGCCTTTCTGCTACATCTCTGTGCTGCTTGTTTCTTAGACTCTGCCCCAACCTTTGACAGTTTCCTGATTACATTTCTTTAAAACATCCCACACGTCTAGGCTCTTAAAAATTCCAGGAAGTTTTACAGACCATGAAACATCTCTGAAATTACTCTATTTTCTCCAGGGATTTGTAAAGAATGCCTTGGCTCCTGTGTTCAGTTTAGCCTCAGCCCAGAGACCTATTTTAAAGCACGGATAACTAAAGCTCCTTCTTTCCTAGGGAGCAACAGGCCCTCATTCAGATCTGCAACAAAAGCACATCTGAGCGCAACTCTGCTTGCCGACATATGTTAAATATTATGGACATCGGAAGCAGTGATTCAGACCTCTGATTTGAAGGCAACTTGACTGAATCACCCCTTCCTTTGAATGGAATTGCAGAATCAAATTGCGGAATCAAATTGCAACCTCATCAGTCTTAATGAATCTAAGTGTGCCTTCAAAGAGATTTCAAGAACCAACGGACTTCTTATAAAGACTAAATCGGATCTCCAAATCCATTTAGTTCAGTTGCATGATCCGAAGTGACATTCTCAGTCAAGCTGATTAGCTTGTCAAATGAAACTGTTGAATTGCATATTCAGAACAGATCTTGGGTGATGCTTGCAAAAGATGGGTTGTCCCAGTGAGTTTTCTTCATTCTTAAAAAAAAATATCATTTTTAATATATACAGTGGTATCTTGGTACTTAACTGTTTTGAAACTCATTGGATTTAGTACTCAATGTATTTTTACATGAAAATTCTGGTACGCATCGTTTGTTTGGTGCTCAATGCACAAGTTAGAACTTGTCGGTGTCGGCTGCTTTGTGACTCTCTACATTATTCCTTATGGGAATAATTTGTTTGGGTCACATCATTTTTGGTAGTCATCATTCCTCTTGGAACACAGTTTTGGTCTCCACACTAAAAAAAAGATGTTGAGACTCTAGAAAAAGTGCAGAGAAGAGCAACAAGGATGATTAGGAGATTGGAGGCTAAAACCTATGAAGAACGGTTGCAGGAACTGGGCATGGCGAGTCAAGTGAAGAGAAGGACCAGGGGAGAAATGATAGCAGTCTTCCAATATTTGAGGGGCTATCACAGAGAGGAGGGGGGTCAACCTATTTTCCAAAGCATCTGAAGGCAGGACAAGGAATAACGGATGGAAATGGATCAAGGAGAGATTCAATCTAGAAATAAGGAGAAATTTCCTGACAGTGAGAACAATCAACCAGTGGAACAGAAGTTGCCTTCAGAAGTTGTGGGAGCTTGATCACTGGAAGCTTTCAAGAAGAGACTGCCATGTGTCAGAAATGGTGTCGAGTCTCCTGCTTGGGCAAGAAGTTGGACTAGGTGACCTATAAAGGCCCTTCCAATTCTGTTATTCTAATTCTAATCAATTAACACTGAGTACCGAGGTACCACTGCATTTTTTTTTTATATTGCTGGGGGAGGTGAGACAATCAAGAATAAGCAAGCACTGTCATTACTTGTTCTTTCTCAATATTGATCATTGAATTCCTTTTAAGCAGATGTCATCTTATTCTGGTCTTGTTTTGAGTTCCTAGACCTAACTCTTGCATTCTGCAAGAACCCTCTTCATTCCAGCTGCAGTTGGTCAAGCACTGAAATGGACACTCTTGTCTAAGACTGAAGAAACATACCTTCCAGTGACCAGATGTAGTGCTTAGCCGTTGCCAACTCTTCGTCTCCAGGAATACTGGCAGGATTTTTGGAAGGAATTATACCAAACTGGACAAAGAGTGCTGTCATTTCTTTTGTCATCCCAGCTCTTATGATCTGGATGTTGGGGATGAAGGATGCAAGTAGAAGAAGGGCCACCTGCAGACCAGGAGAGCAACAGATGAGGCTGGTCCTACCACAGGTGGACAGGTTGAGAAGAAACTGTGGTGTACTTTACCTGGTAGACAGCTATCACAGCCATGGCTAGAGAGAGGGCCAGCTTCAGTGGGATCTGGAAACCTGCAATCACAAAACCAGGGCTACATCTCAAGAAGAATATTCCGATGGGTAGAACATGAACCCATGGTTTATGGAGATTCTCAGTCATCCAGGTCATAGTTATCCCCAAGAAAGCTTTTTCACAAGGTAACTGGACTTTCTTGTTTTTCTTTGAAGACATTTTGCTTCTCATCCAAGAAGCCAAAGAAACTTCTTGGATGAGAAGCGAAACATCTTCAAAGAAAAACAAGAAAATCCAGTTGCCTTGTGAAAAAGCTTTCTTGGGGATGAATCCATGGTCTTTCAAAAATTTGCTAGCTAAATTTTACCCATTGGGGATGTCGCTAGGGTTAGTGAGACTTGAAGAACAACCGACCCAGAAGACAAATTAGCTCAATACATGGATTGTGTTGAAAAACAGGCCCATAACGAGAGAAGGAGAAAGTCAAAGAGATACAGAACTTCTCTGCAACTCCTTGCTTCAGAACATGTGTGGCAGTCTTGAAGATGTAGATGTTCTGGAGATCTTTCCAGAGCAACCACCAAAATAGAATGGCAGTACAAAACAAGCTAGCCTAAGCCTGTCCAATATCTCCTAAGAACCTAGTGGAAAAGAATATATATATATATATAAATGCAGTACCTTTCTGGGGTGTGTATACAAATGTACGCAAGTAGGATTGGAGACTCGAAAGCCTTCTTGGCTTCACTCCATTGATGCTGAAAGAAGAAGTTCAGAAGGTCTGCCATAAATACAAGGCCAGTCCTCACCAACCCCTTGTTTTGGGATCTACCAGCTCTTGGTTGGTCAAATTGAGGTCTCACCTTTTCTTGGGTATTCTTTTAGTCAGGATGTGCTTCAAATAGTCTTCGTAATAGCTGCTTCCTGGAACCTTCCAGCAAACAAGGAAACACTCAAGATGAGATTCCAATAATTTGGGGGCTTCATTTAATCCATGAAATCAACCCTCTTCCTCTTCCAGACCTTGCCCAATGTCCTCCCCCCCTCCTTTCCTTGCAGCTTCCTAAAAACAGAAATGCGGTTAAGAATGCTGGTCGCAGAAGAGTAGATTTACAGAAGAGAATATTTGCAGCTCAGGGTTGATCAGGGTGCCCTCTGAGCTTGCTTGTTTTCTTGCAGATGTTTCATTACCCAACTAGGTAATGTCATCAATTCTAGAAGGGAGAGGGATTTGCAGAGCGAAAGAGGAGGTCTATGGGGTCCTTGGTACTCTCTGAACGTGGTTGTTTTCTTGAAGACATTTAATTACCTAACTGGGTAATGGCATCAGTGCTAGAAGGGAGTGGGGTTCGTTGAGTGTAGGAGAAGCAAAGGGAGGGGGCAGGAGGAGGAGAAGGAGGAAGAGGAAGAGGAGGAGAAAGAGGAGAAGGAGAAAGAGATGGACTGTAGAGTCTTTGGTGCTCTCTGAACTTGGTTGTTTTCTTGCAGATGTTTCATTACCCAACTAGGTAGCATCATCAGTGTGAGTGAGTTTGAGGTTTGCTTCAGTAGCTCACTCTACAGCCAGCATCCAGCAACCAATACCCAGATAAGCAGGGATTAACACCAGACAAAGAATCAACCAAGCAGAAAACAATAACCTAATTAGGGAATTACTGAAGAGAAAACCATATCCCCACCAACACTGAAAGAAGAGGTTACTGTGTATAAACAGGGAACAAGTCACACTCACTAGCACTGATGAAGTTACCTAATTGGGCAATGAAACATCTGCAAGCAGACCATCTTGCTCAGAGAGCACCAAGGACCCCACCTGCTTACGGAGATTCACAGTCCTCCAGGTCATGGTTGTACCAAAGGTGCTTTTTCAAGACCTTCTTGTTTTTCTTGAAGATGTTTCGCTTCACACCCAAGAAGCTTCTTCAGCTCTGGCTGGATGGTGGGGAATGGAAGGATTTATGCTCGTGGCAGACAGATGGTCATTTGCATTCTTTTAGTGAGTCGTTAAAGCTACCTGGAGCGCATCTGTGTTTTCAGGGTCACCTGAGTAGTGCAAATGGGTGTGGAGTCTTCTTGGAACCGCTGAAAGGACGGTGTTGTAGATTGGAGATAGATGGTGTCATATCCCTCCCTCTCTGTTGAGGGAGGGCCGTTCAATTTCAACACTGATGCCTCTTTGACTCCTCTTTCAAACAGCCAGAGCTCAAGAAGCTTCTTGGATGAGAAGCGAAACGTCTTCAAAGAAAAACAAGAAAGCCCAGTTGCCTAGGAAATTGCTATTCTACACTGACCTGGTTGCAAAGCTGCCTCCCCTGGCTGTTTCTCCTACGTTCTCCCTGTGCTTTTTAGCAAGTAAACAGAACGAAAGAAATAGGCCTGATTTGTGCCACCCGTTAAAAATGTCTCGCATAATTTCCATCTGCTCTGCGAGTCGTGATAACAGTTGCAAAGGTGCTAATTACATAGCTGCGCAGATGCCCGACCACATCTGGTGCGAAAGAAGAAGAACGGCGTTGTCATTCTGAGAATTGTGAGGAAAAGAGAGAGAAGTCTGGGCACACAATGAGAAAAAAAAATATATCCCTTCCTTTCCTCTCAGGATCGTATAAACGGTTGGAATTGGTGAAACGTGACAATCACATGCAAATTTCCAGAGGCACCAAACATTCCTCTGGCTATTGTTGGTTTTCAAAACAGGGATTTCTTACACAACCGTCTGAGGGGATTACAACACCATTGCGCCAACAAGCTGCTTTTTTAATACAACTGTACAATAAGGCATTAGTTCTCCTCTGAACATTAAGACTCAAATCTTCTCAGGCTGAGAAGCTGGGTTGACACAAATAAATCAATGAGAGGTCATTCAGAAAAAAGCAGATTTTTTTTTTTTTTTTTTAAAAAAACACAGCTCTCTTTCCTACATTTTGGATGTACTTCATACCGGTACTCCTTGACTTACAGACATTTGTTTAGTAACCGAAGTTACAACAGCATTGGAAAAAGTAAGTTATGACCCTTTTTCACACTTAGGACCGTTGCAGCATCCCCGTGGTCACGTGATCAAAATTCAGACACTTAGCAAACTGACTCCTATTTATGACAGCTCCAGTGTCCCGGGGTGGGTCACGTGATCCCCTTTTGCGACCTTCTGACAAGCAAAGTCAGTGGGGGAGAAGCCAGATTCGCTTAACGACCGTGCTACTAACTTAACAAATGCAGTGATTCGCTTAACAACGGGGACAAGAAAAATTCCATTGCTAAGCAAGGCCGTTGTTAAGTCGTCCTGGCCAATTTTACATTCTTTTTTGCCATGGATGTTAAGCAAACCACGGTCCTTGTTAACTGAATATGCGGTCGTTAAGCGAACTCAGCTTCCCCCATTGACTTTGTGTCAACATCCGGCACGAGAATCCAAATAAATCCCCAGGATCATTTCATTCTGAAATTCTTACTGTTTATTGAATACACGGCATAGAATTGCCGAAGCAAAATTCACTCTGAGGTTCCCAGACACCAGATCTGCTTTTAGAAAGCCAGCTGGGGAGGCTGCAAACGGTGGCCACGTGACCCCGGGATGTTGCAAGTGTGAAAACTGGTTGTAAGTTACTTTTTTCCAGTGCCTTTGAAAGTTTGAGCGGTCTCTAAACAAATAATTATAAGTCGAGGATTACCTGCATAAAAAAATATTTAAGAACAGGAAAACCCTCTGCCAGATCAATTGGGGAAAATGAAAGCTGGTGGTCTCTTCTTATTGTGGCTTATTGTCGCAACCTTTTGAGCTCGAGAGGGCAATGTCAAGAGAGATTACCTTCTCTGTCGCCATCTTGGCATCCCCTTTGAAGCTCTCGACCAGTTTCATGGGGTACCAAAGGCTCAGCATGGCGAGGCACAGAATGATAGGAAGGTAAGAAAGCAGGGAATAATATCTGTAAATCTGAAAAGAAAGGGTAAGAAAAAAAAACACAATAAAGAAACTATCACTGAGACTCAGAAGAATTGTATCTTGGTCACAATCCCTCAACGGCTAATATTACACTGGGAAGTTTCCAGAACCAGGGATTGTGGTTTATGGATGAGAATTCTCTGCCATAGCAACTCATTGGTGGACGAATGAAAAGAGTGAGTTGGTCCCTTTTGCTAAATCCTCTGTGAATTGCTTTGAGGGGCAAGACCAAGCAAAGAGAGTGGATTAATTGCTCTCCCCCTCTTCTTCAGATCTTCTGAAACTCGGAGATGGTGTTCTTGACCTCTTTCATCCTTGTGCCTTTGGAGGGACTCAGAATAAGCTGAGTCCCTCCATAAGCAATTAGCTATGCACCTAATTGCTTTCTGCCATCATCTCTGGATGCTGAGAACACACTGTGGTTGATGGGAAATCCAGAGATTTTGCTACTCCTGTAAGTCAAAACATTCACTTTGTCCAATGTATGGATAATGAATGATTCCTGGTCTGAAATCCACCTGGGAAGAGACCCATGCTGTATATATTCCTGAGAATTTGCTCCCTAGTTAGGTCCTTCCTCATTCTTCTGGGACCTATCCTCACCTTTAGCTTGCAGTGGTTGCATCCTAAAATCTACCTAACCGAGTTAGGCAAACATAAGTAATAAACAGCCATGGACCTTCTGAAGCATCATGATCAAAACACGGATGCAACTGTGGCCCCAGATTAGTATCCCCCAACTCTAAGTATGGCCTTCAGATCTTCTCCAGAAGTTGTCCCCAGGATGTCCTTCTGAATATGATAAAGGCAGAAATGGTTTTACTTGGGGAGTCACTATTAACTGCTTCAAATTAATACATTTTGATTCTTTGGCCCAACCACATTTATAAAAATCCAAAACTGCAGTCCCAAACTTCTCCAGAACCTTGATGTATCCTGTGGGCAGAAAGTCTCCAGGCTTCATAAGAAAGAGCTGTTGGTCTAGTTGGCTCCTACCCAGTTTCTCCCCATCAGCATCCTTCTCTGTCTTTACCTTGGGTGACTGAGGACATTCCACCTTCTGCCAGATATAGAGCACACAGTGACACCAGGACAGCAGGCAGCCAAGCAGGTATCCAACTCTGTGTTGGACAGTAGCGCATGCAAGTAAGGGATAGTAGAAGGCAGGGTAATACAATAAAGCCAGCATCTTCCAGTACTCTAGAGAAAGAAATTAAGCAGAAGAGACGGCCCCACGTTAAGAACCCAAGTATTTCTGCAGAAAGTCATGTGGACAATGCAAATGGAAGGGTGGCTAGGATTGCCATGACCTCTGCTAAGGGGACTTTATCAGATTTTCCATAGGAGACAATTGATGGGACGTTTACCTGTAAACAATGACTGATGGCCAACAGACCTTGGACTGATCCTCTCCTTAGGTCAGGATTTCCTAACCTTAGCAACTTTAGGATGCATGGACTTCAATTCCCAGAATTCCGCAGCCATCCAAGGGAATTCTGGGAGTTGAAGTCCATACCTCTTAAAGTTGCCAAGGTTGGGAAACCTTGCCTTGGGTTAAACAAGGAAATTACCTAACAAAGCAGAAATGGCAGGCTTTCTCCTGAATCCTTTGTCTGTTTCTTCCTGCTCTTAGCTAAAATGGCTTTTAAAAACCAGAGCTGGGTCAATTTGGAGTGCTTTTTCACCTAAAACCATAATGGAGGAAGGCAGTATCTTTTATTAAGCTCATGCTGCCATCAAACACCAATTGGCGTGGGTCAAAAGCAGGTGAGCTGTTCTTCTATGCCCACTTGTGTTGCTTTCTGTCTAGGAGAAAGGAAGATATAAATTTGCTTTGATCCATTGAGGTATTTCTAATGTTCTTGTGAAGAAGGAGTTGACTTGCTGGATTAGATACAACTCTTAACCACAATTCTTAATTATGATAAGCAGTCTGGGAAGCAGCCAATCTTAGCCCATGTCAGAAGCTCCAGGATGGTTACTGTTGTTCTAGGTGAGGTGGACATAGTTTGTTCTCCATATTCTTTCGCTACTACAGAATGACAAATTCAATGGACCTTGGAGGCCATGAACGTCTTCCAAAAATTTAATCATCCACTTAAAAAAAAAAAAAGATTATGGTCCTCATTTTCTATCAGCCTGGGTGCTATCGACCCATCTTTGACCCCAGCTCCCAAAATTCTTAGCCAACACGGCTAACTTGAAAGATGGAGGATGCGATCCAATGCATTGAGGATGCCTGTTTGAGATTACCTCGATTCTGTATGGAAGAGTTGGAGATGAAAGGCAGGGGGTCATTATCCAACAATAGGACACACAGTGAAGAGAAGAGAATGCCAAAAACTGCAATGGCCAATCCTTTGTTCTGCGTTTCTTCCAAGAAATTCATAGGGCTGGGCAAGCCAACAACCAGAACGCCAGAGAGAGAATAAGGAAAACAAAAAAGAAAAAAGAAAAGAAAAATCAGTTCTACAAATGGAACACCTCTGCAGGAAAGCTTTGAAAATATACACTTCGAAGCTGCAAGACCTCTAAGGTGAAGGGTTCACCCCACCAATGAGTGAGTACCTCAATAGTCCAGGTGCGCCCTTCCAAAAATCTGGGTGGAGTTTCTTCCTTTTCACCAACAGCGAGAGAACCAAGAGTATAACCAGCTGGAAGACAAGATTCCTTGGGTTTACACAGCCCGATTCCTTACACAAATGAAGTTATCCCTCTGCTCTTAGCGATGGCAAACCAAATAAAAACAAAGACAAAACAGATGGCATTTCTAAGGTCCTCCACCCACCTAATGACCCGGACATAGATTTATTTATTTATTTGTAAAATGTACAAGGCCATTCAAATGACCCGGACCTAGATTTATTTATTTATTTGTTTATTTAATTTATAAAATGTATATGGCCATTCAACTCACGGTGACTCCGACAGCGAAACCCCAAATACAAAACCCAAGGAACCCCCAGTCCCCTGGTGAGAACAATCAAACCACTGGATGGGCTCCCAGTCACCCTGGGATGCCCACGGCCTGCTGGCAAAACCATCTTTGGGGTCTTTTGAAAGAGCCTCAAGGTAGGGACCAATCTTATCTCTGCAGGAATTATGTTTCATAGGGAGGAACCATCACATTATTGCAAACGTTTCATGACCCAACCAGATAACATCATCAGTGCTAAAAGCAGTGCTTTTTTTGTAAAAAAAAAAAAAAAAAAAAGGTGCTGGAACTCACACACATTATACAACCCTACCCTTGCCTACCCTACAAGGTTCCATCCAAAAAAGGTGCCGGAACTCCATTCTGGGTGTTCTATGACAAAAAAAGCCCTGGCTAAAAGGGAGTGGGGTTTGCGGAGAGGAGGAGGAGGAGGAGGAGGAGGAGGAGGAGGAGGAGGAGGAGGAGGAGGAGGAGGAGGAGGAGGAGGAGGAGGAGGAGGAGAATTGTGGGGTCCTTGGTGTTCTCTGAGCTTGGCTGTTTTCTTGCAGATGTTTCATGACCCAACTAGGTAACATCATCAGTGCTAGAAGCGAGTGGGGTTTGTGGAGAGGAAGAGGAGGAGGAAGAGGAGATGGAGCAGGAGGAGCAGAGGAGGACTGTGGGGTCCTTGGTGCTCTCTGGGCTTCGTTGTTTTCTTGCAGACATTTCATTACCATACTAGGTAACATCATCACTGCATAAATATATACAACACTAAGTAAAACGGTTGCTATGGATGTTAATATAGCTGGGAAACGGGGCCCTTCACACACTCGGAGCCCCAGATCTGGGATGATGTTACCCAGTTTGGTAATGAAACATTTGCAAGAAAACAACCAAGCTCAGAGATCACCAGACTTTACAAAAACCACCATAACCCAGAAAAAAAAACCCTATTTTTTCTCTCGAGTTTCTCATTCTTTGCTTTCCATAACTCCACATCCCGATTTGAAGTTTATTTTCATGGATTTGATTTTATCTCAATTACAAATTCTTCCATAATTCTTCCAAATGGCCAAGAGCATTTTAAAAAATATAAAATGGTTTTATTCCCAACCATCTTTTTGATTGGGCCATCTGCCACATCGCATATAGGGATTTTGCAGTGTTTAAAACACAGTCCTAAACTTTCTCAAAACTGTAAACCATACCGGTCCAAAACTCCCTTTCCAGCAGCTGAACATTTCAGCAGCTGTCAACAAAGGATATTAAAAGGGGGGGGACCCCACAATTTCACTACACATAAAACATTGGCAGCAATTCTTTTCAGCTGCTCACGGTGGGGAGATAGTTGTTATGGCAACACAAACAAAGACCTTGAACAGCCAAATTTGGCGGAATAAATACTATACCGTTAACTCTTGCACAATCTGGGCTTAGCCTACTTCACAGGGCTGTGGTGAAGATCAAAAGCGGTGGTGATGGTAGCAGTCAAAAGAGTCCAAAATGTGTGAGCCAGCCAGTCAGAAAAATAGAATAAACCTGGATTGTCACAACAACTAACTTTGGCTTATGGCTTCCTTCCTTCCTTTCTTCTTTCCTTCCTTCCTTCCTTCCTTCCTTCCTTCCTTCCTTCCTTCCTTCCTTCCTTCCTTTCCTTTCCTTTCCTTCTCTCTCTCCTTTTCCTTCCTTCCCTTCCTCTCTCTCACTTTTCCTCCCTCCCTCCCTCCCTCCCTCCCTCCCTCCCTTCCTTCCTTCCATATGAATGTGGTTTCTTACATCCTTAAATTAATGCTTTCCTTAGGCTTACTGAATATAATCTGGTTAAATAAAGTTAGATATTTGCAACTAAAGTATAGTATCAAATTAATGGTCTTTTCCAGTGTTTCTCAATCTTGGCAGCTTGGAGAGGTGGGGACTTCCACTTCCAGAATTCCCCAGAATTTCCCTTGCCTGGCTGGGGAATTCTGGGAGCTGAAGTCGACCCCTCTTCAAGTGATCGAGTTGAGAAACCCTGGTCTGTTTCATGGACTGGCAGATCACCGATGCCAATCAGCTTCACAAATGTTGTGCAAGATACGTTGGAGACTATTCCTCTCTCTAGAACTCCTGTTTCCTCTGACCTCTTGGCGAAGTGACCCATGAAGGCCAAAGCCTCATTTGCAAACTTGCTTTTTCCCCTCAGATACTTACAGAAATGGGAGCCATGCTGCAGTGATAGAGATCAAAGGGGACGGTCAGTTGGCAGTCAGGGATAATGTCTGAAGCCATGCTGCAAGAAAGCATCACAACCATTTAAAAGAGCATCTGCCTCAGAAAATGACATTTTGAGAGCCGTAAAATCTAAACCAACATCATTTGACAACATTGCCTTAGGATGGGGGGGGGAATCCCTTTTATCTTCTTTCATTCTATTCAAGTAAAGAAAATAAATGTTTTTATTTTCCAGAGATTTCTCTCCCCCCCCCCCCGAATTCCTCACTGAAACTAACTCCCTTAAAATAGCGGCTTAAAAATAGACGTCAATTGTGTCACTAAACTAAAAGGAATAATTTTAGCAACCAAAATCAACCCCAAAGCCCATAAACCAAAAAGCTTGACTGGGAGCAGACATTAAAAGCTCTAATATGTATCATGCGGTTAGATGGATTTACGAAGATGGAGTGCCATGAAAATGTAAGTGAAGGTGCTTATTAAAATGAATCCAAACAAGCAACAGATTTCCTAACACAGGGCTGCTTTTGTGGTGCCCTGATAGTTTAAAAAGAAGTGGGCTTTAGGGTTTTTGAAATGACTTTCTCCTGTTAAAATCCAGCAAGAACTACGTCCCAGAGAACACAGGATGTTAGTTTATCAGCCGCGTGGGAAAACAGCCCAGTTCTTTGTATGACTTTTCAACAAGAGTCGAAAGCTTCTGAGTTGACCAAGCTTGAATTTGGATAAAGTTACGGCCACTGAAGAAAGCTTCTGAATTTTTTTTTTTAAAAAAAGCTCACCTCTCTTGCTAGACCAACTTCCTATAAAATCAGGGGGGGGGGGAATAACTCGTTTCCTGCAGTCTGTCGTTCCCTCCCCAGGCTAACTGGGGAGATTTTCTGAAATATTTTTGGAGATCCCTCATGGGAAAATATCTAAGGGTCGTGGGGGTGAAGAAGGAACTCTGGTGCACCAGTGTTTGCATGTTAGATTCTTCTGAAGGATACGTTTGGAGACAAGGTCCCAAAGAAAGCAAAAATTTAGGATGGACATTAGCTCAAAACATAGGATCGGTCAACCATTCAGAAAGACTGTGTTGCTTAAGAAAAGTTCAGCTAGGACAGGAAGGCTTTCAAAATTCTTTCTGGCCCCAAAGGAGCCAATATCTAGCCTGAATGAGAAGAATCAGATCAAGGAACTGAGGTTCCTTCACAAAGTTTCTTCACAAAGAAAGCTTCTTCCTACAGTTCAGTGGTTTGACACAGGAGGGAGGCAAGTTACACCAGAAGGAATCCAGGCATTTGTGATACAGTCTGGAGAGGTGTTTGGATCCAGTCCATGGGATGATGAATGGAGCGTGGGGTGGGGAGAAGGCATCACATGTGACCTCTGAGGATCCTTGGAAAGCCGATTCAGAGCTTGGGGGTAACCCCAGAAAGCAATGATCTCTAGGTTGAAGGATTGAGGGGTGGCATTAAGTACCAGCAGGCAACTTATATGTCAGGATGGAATGAGATGGAGCAGAATTGTCCAATCCATTGACCGGAAGTCAAGACAAGATTTAAATTTGTAAGGAAGGAGATTGGGAAAATCCAGGAAAAATTCTTAACAGTTAGAGTCAGTCAATGACAAAACTAGCAGCCTTGGGAGACGGCAGGTTTTTCGGAAGGTTGGATAGTCATGGGATGGGAATGTTATAAGAATGGATTCCTGTAAAAGACAGGAGATTGGACTAAATCAGCATTTCGCAATGTTAAGAACTGTGGACTTCAACTGGCTGGGGAATTCTGGGGATTGAAGTCCACAGATCTGGACACTGAAGCTGAGAAACATTTGGGTAGGTAGGTGATCCTCAAAATGACTCCCACCTTTTGCAGTCTAGGCTTCTGGGATAAATGAATTCATAGCAGTGGGTGCAAACCAACCAAAACAGGAAAGCATCAAAGCTTCCTCTGTGTTTGGCACCCCTCTGAGTCCAAGATGGGGAATCAAAGAATGTTTCAATTCAGTCTCAGGGGCTTATGCACCATTAATCCTACTTTGGGGCAGAATTAGTGAGTTATGTTAGAAATGCTGATATTTAATCCCATCCAAGGGCTAACTGCTAAACTAATTACTGGATAGAGTCAAGTCCCCCCCCTCTCCCCCACCATCTTAAATGTATGGATTTCTTTGAACAGTATTAACCCATAAATACTCATAGGCTGATTTCCATAAATACGATATACATTTTCCTAACAGCGATGAAACTCAGAGAGAACCTCTTAGCTGTTTTCTGAAAAATACTGCTAAACAACTTGACACCCCCCCTCCAGCTCACTTGTAAATGTCAAGCTTGGTTTCTAACAACTTTCAGAGTCGCATACCAATATTCCCAAGTCCTGAATTATTTTAAGAATATTTGGGGCATTCGTAAACACTTTGCCGAGAAGAAGTTTTAGCAGCAACCTTAAGCTCCACATAGAGAAGCGATGCGCGGATGAAATCTGAGAAATAAGTAGCATTTATACTCACTCGTTGGGGTTTCCTATTGGTTCATATATGTACCAATTATCTTCATCAGCAAAGTTTCCGGTGAGTTCCAATCCATCTCTTAATTTCTCTTGGGAAGACATCTCTCTGTTTGCTTTAATTTCCCCCGCAATCAAATCTAAATAATATCTTTAAAAGAAAAGAAAAGAAAAGGAATCAAGATCTATTCTGAAGTGGGGACTCAATCCTTCCAAAAAATTGTCCTGTAGCTGATACACTTTGGCGGTCAAATTAAAAATCTGGCAAGTTTTTTTGGTCCTTCATACAAGCAACTCGGTTTCCTTCTGTCATTTAAGTTGCTTTTCATGCTTTTTTTTTTAACCCCACAGAGGTTTATCCAAAGTGACTTCATCCTGTTTCAGCATTACATGAGAACAAAGGAGGAACAGAAGTTGGTGGTTGAAAAAAAAAAGGAGAAAAAAAAACAACAAAAACAAAAAAACCCAACCCCACTACACAAACCAAACTAAGAACAGCCAGTTATGAAAGACTTGGGCTGTGCTCAGAACAAGGAGATTAAAGAAACTAAAGATTTGTTTAACTTGGTTTCTCCTCAAGATTCAGCCTAAGGAGATGAAAGAATTTGAAAAATCATTTTTACTTCTCATACCTATTTGAATGGATGCTCTCTTTTTTTCTTTTTGCAAGAAAAATCCAAGGGAAATATTACTTAGAAATAAAGCTTGACACCCCCACTTCCCAAATCAGCAGTTTCTTGATACCTTACTTTCAAAAGGGACCATTGTTTGATCTGAGAACCTGTGCAACAAAATATTAAAAATTTATTGCTTTGGGCTTAGGAAAACTCTGGTATGCACCCAATATTTAAGTATAAAATTAATAGGCTGGCTACTCCTATTTGACAGGGGTTTTAGCCATAGAATACAGGAGGATGTTGTAGAAAATTTCTTGAGTATGGAATAAATAAAACTCACTTTTCATATGCTAAGCCACTTTGCCTCAGCTGTGTAGCTGGTTGAATAAATTGCAGTTAAATGGTGATGCACCACAAACTAAGCCTAAAACATATAAACCACATTATGACTTAATCTGATGAACGAAACTGGTCAAAATCCCAGCTTGATGTGAAAATCATACTGTTGCAGAAGGATATTCCTGGTTAATAGTAAGACTATGTGGTCCTTGGTATTCTCTGAGCTTGGTTTTTTTCTTGTAGACATTTCATGACCCAACTAGCTAACATCATCAGTACTAAAAAGGAGTGGAGTTTGGTCTCCACTTCTATAGAGTGGCTTTCCCCACTAACTGATTAAAACACCTTGGAATCTTGGATAAACCATCGTTCGGGGTTTCCCAACCGTGGCAATTTACAGGTATATGGATCTCAATTCCCAGACTTTCACAGCCATTGCTGAGAATTCTGCTAGTTGAGGTCCATCACTGTTGAAAAGCATTGCTGTACTTGTTTATGGAGGTTCTCAGTCATCCAGGTCACGGTTGTCCCAAAGGTGCTTTTTCAAGAGGCAACTGGACCTTCTTGTCTTTCTTTGAAGACATTTTGCTTCTCCTCCAAGAAGCTTCTTCAGCTCTGACTGGATGGTGGGGAATGGAAGGATTGATATTCCTTGCAGACAGCTGGTCATTTGCCTTCTTTGAGAGAGTTGTTGAGGCCACTCGGAGGTTTATCTGTGTCCTCAGGGTCACCTGAGTGGTGCAAGTGGGTGTGGAGCCTTCTTGGAACTGCTGAAAGGACTGTGTTGTAGACTGGAGATAGATGATGTTGGATCCCTCCCCCTCTGTTGAGAGAGGCCTGTTCAAAACTGAATTAAACCCTTCCATTCCCCACCATCCCATCAGAGCTGAAGAAACTTCTTGGATGAGAAGGGAAACCTCTTGAAAGAAAAACAAGGGAGTCCAGTTGCCTCTTGAAAAAGCACCTTTGGGACATTGTCCTACCTGGTTGCAGCTGTGGTTTGTCGGACAAGCCATCAACGGGCTGATTTACCCAGTGGCAAATGGAGGCCAAAGGGAATAAACTATAAAAGGTTCGCAGTGATGGCGAACCTTTTAGAGACCGAGTGCCCAAACTGCAACCCAAAACCCACTTATGCATCGTCGAGTGCCGGGTGGGCATGGCCCATTGGGTGGGCGTGGCCCATTGGGTGGGCATGGCTGTGGTAGTAATGGCAGACTGGTGGGACTAAAAAGTTCAATCTATCAATTCCAACTTTGCAAGATCTTTTTTTTCCCCCGCGAGAAGTTGAAATTGACTGATTGAATTTTTTTTTTTGCACACAGCGGCGGAGGCCTAAAGCGAAAAGGTTTTATAAAACCCAGCTGAAGGCCAAGGACTGGGGTGACGGTGCGCGTGCCCACAGAGAGGGCTCGGAGTGCCGCCTCTGGCACCCGTGCCATAGGTTCGCCACCACTGAGCTAGAGGATAGCACATAGCTGCTGTCTCCCAATGTATTCTGCTCGTCCTAGGAGACACAGGGAGCCCGATGGAAATTCTAGACTCCCAACGGGCAGCCAAGATGAAAGACAGAACACACCACCAAGATGAGAAGACTTGTGCTGTGTTGCAGCCTGGCGTTTCAGCCCCACCTCAGTTTCACCCTAAACCTGATCTCTTTGCTCCTCTGCCTGACCTCCACTGGGGAAAGCCACAAGGCTTCGATGGGGAGACAGCACAGGGAGAGATTGATGACTGCAATAAATATTATTCATTTCTCATTCTTTATCACTCCCTGGGGAACGTTTTTTTGCCTCTTGCCCAAATAAATAGAGCGAGAGGGAAACGGGGAAGGTCGAGGGGATGGGAGAGAAGGGGGAATTGAGCGTACAGCATGCGGCTTTTAATCAAAATGATAAGAGATCAGTTTCCGGAAGAGCTGTGGAATTTACTGAGTGGGAGTTGATTTCATTCAGTTGAGCTCTGCTCCGAGTTGCCAGAAGGACAAGGGGGGGGGGACATGATAGCCGTGTTCCAATATTTGAGGGGCTGCCACAAAGAAGAGGAGGGGGTCAACCTATTCTCTAAAGCCCCTGAAGGCAAGACAAGAAGCAACGGATGGAAACTAGTCAAGGAGAGAAGCAACCTAGAACTAAGGAGAAACTTCCTGACAGTTAGAACAATTAACTAGTGGAACAACCTGTCTCCAGAAGCGGTGAATGGAGCAATGCTCTAACACTTGATGTTTTTAAGAAGAGACTGGACAGCCATTTGTCTGAAACGGTATAGGATCTCCTGCTTGAGCAGGGGTTGGACTAGAAGACCTCCAAGGTCCCTTCCAATTCCATTAGTCTGTTAAATGTGAGAGATATTTTTTTTCATCAGACAGACCAGCCCTGCTGTTTTCAAAACAACTTTGCACTGGGAGGTTTCCTGATGGCTTTTGAAATGCCCTTTGCTTCATCCCAGTGAGGTTACTTCCGGCAGAGCTGTTTGTACAGGTGTCAACTCACAGCGAGGCAATTGCAAATGTGTGAGATTGCAGCAGGCAATCCTCACAAATTCCACCAGCATCAGAGTTCAAACGAATAAGGCCGATTGTTATCTTCTGCTTCCAAGCCTTTTAGTGCTCTAGATCCCTTCCCCACCTAGCAAATTTGGGGAGAAATACTCAACAAAATTAATGTTTAAGAGATGAACTAAAGAAGAAGAAGTCAGAAGTGCAAGCCTGGATAAAAGAGCCAGGCTAGATCCACAATCTGGGTTGGCTAGTCATGAAAAGTTCTAATGTCGATGCTCGATTATGGCCAAGTCTTGGCATGATCATGGAGAACTCAGTCCATTGTGGCTTATAAGTCATGGGTTATAGGTTAAGCGTCACAGATGGTTCATGCTGCAATGACTTACTCAACAAGTATTTAGTTATTGAGTATTAGGGGTAAACCCATAGACTCACATTGCCGTAAGTAATGGTTTGATGGTTTAGAATGAAATGTGAATGTAGTCATTGGGGTTTGTAGATAGTGAAGTGGTTCATGTGTAGAGTTTTCCAGCTGATGTGTAGAATTTCTAAGGTGACTTATGCAAGACCAACATCTGCATTTTTCAGCCAAACTCAGATAATAAATAAAACTGTCTGTAATGGGAAGGATGGACCTGGCCAATGTTTAAAGTACAGCCCAACAATTTGTGAACTCAGCTATGATTTCATGGTCAACCAATCCAGGTATCCCCAATACTTCTGAAGACACCATTAACTTGGAGCAGTGTTTCTCAGCTTTGACAACTTTTAAGTCATGTGGACATGTGGACTTTACTAGCCAACATGGTTGACTAGGGAATTTTGGGAGTTGAAGTCCACACATCTTAAAAGTTGCCACGGTTGAGAAACACCAGCTTAGAGAGATTGGATGCCTGAGACATATCCCAAAATCACATTTTTCAATCTCCTTCTCCAATATGAAATTATGTACCTTGAGAACTACACCACACACTGTCTTGGTTTTTTTGGAGAGCTGTTCAGCCAAACTGTTTCCGAAGAGTTTGTAAAATCTTTTTTTTTTTTAGTCCTTTGGAGGAAGAGAGAAAAGCTGGGAGGAGGGCCTACCTTCTTGTAAATAATTTTCTTGCTATTACTCAACTTCTAGCCTACTTGCTCATCCTTTAGCAAATAAACATCAGTGATGATTACAGCCTGTAATGACTCGGAACATTGAAGTCCTGATACAAAAGGATACCTCATGGTTTAAGGAGATCAAAGGAAGGGGCGGGGAAAAAACTTCTTAGTCGTCTTTCACGAGGTCAACAAGCCAACCACACACAGATGTAAATTACAGCCTTCCCATCATGATTCAGGTTTAATCAATCTCCTGGAGGTCCCTTTGGGAGGGGTTTGAAGGTCCCTTTTCCCAGGACCCAGGATTTCTCCTCAGCAACTTACACAACACAGAATAACACAGTTGGAAGGGATCTTGGAAGTCTTCTAATCCAACCCCTGCTTCCAGTGATGGAGCACCCACAACTTCTGGAGCAAGTCGTTCCACTGATTGTTCTCACTGTCAGGAAATTTCTCCTTAGTTCTGGGTTGGATCGCTTTTGAAGGAGCTTCCACCCATTATTTCTTGTCCTGCTGGAATAGGTCAATCCCCCCCCTCTTTTCTGTGGCTGCCCCTCAGATATTGGAAGAGTGGTACCACGTCACCCTAGTTCTGCTCTTACTCAAGGCTTCATTGTGATGTTTAATAGTCTCAGCCAGAGTTACAAGTGTAACTTGATCGGTGGGGAAAGCAAACACTCAGGAAGCATGAGGTTGGTCCATGGAGGCAGGGAAGCAGATTGGGACCTACGAAAACCCTCACAAAATAGCTAGGAAAGATTCAAGGATTCTTTGGGAAAGGAGAAACTCAAACTTGTCAATCTCAGAGCGACTCAATCCAATTGCAAACCTTGGGTTGAGCATAGCGCCTGGCCCTGATTTCCGTTTATCATTTCTTAAAAGAGCTATAAAAATCTTGATCGATCCATCACCTCAGAATTTCAGAGCCAAGATGGAAGGTCTGGTTTTTTTTTTTTTTTTTTTTTAAAAAGACACCGTATAATTCACTTCCAACCAGTGAGCAAATGTGACCTGGAGGGATCATAAATTCTTCTTTTTATTAAAAAGGAAAAGCAATCAAAGCCGTGTCACAATTAGATGCCTCGTTTGCTCTGAAAATCAGGGTGATTAAAGATTTCTTTTTTCTTTTTTATAATGCCAATGGCCTCTTGATAAAATACCTTTTTCACCTCCTCTATTGTAAGCAGCTTTCCTGGGCCCTTGGAATATTTTTTTTCCCCCTACCGAGACAACAATGCAGGCTAAGCAAAAAAAAAAAAAACCGGCTATAAAGCTGGCAAAGTGTAAAATGAAAGGAAACAAAGCATCTGTCTTTTCAACTGCTTGTAGATTTAACATAAGCACCTCTATTAAACCGAGGGAAACAGGCTGGGAACTGGCAAGGTAAAGACTCCCTCGTGATCATTTTTTTTAAAAGAATGCAGACTTGGGGAGGGAGGGAACCCCCACTATACAATCACCACCTTTCTTCTTGTGAAGAATTGTGTTGCTAAGAAAAACCTTGCTGGGGGAGAGAGAGGCTATTATTCTTGATTGATTTATTGAAGAAGAAGAAGAAGAAGAAGAAGAAGAAGAAGAAGAAGAAGAAGAAGAAGAAGAAGAAGAAGAAGAAGAAGAAGAAGAAGAAGAAGAAGAATAAGAAGAAGAAGAAGAAGAAGAAGAAGAAGAAGAAGAAGAAGAAGAAGAAGAAGAAGAAGAAGAGGAGGAGGAGGAGGAGGAGGAGGAGGAGGAGGTGGGGAGGAGGAGAAAGACCTTTTTATTAGAAGTTGGTTTCTCTTGCTAATTAACAAAGAAAGAATTCTAATGATTATTTAGGAGAGGAAAAAATCACGTTTCTTTTACCTCTAACGTTGCTTCCCTTAGAAATAAGGCCTTTTTTTTTTGTATATCTGGGCAAAAATTCAACCTTAACAATGGTATGGTTTGATCAGGATTGCGGTAGGACTTTAAGAATTCTTTTTTTATTTTTTCCAAAGGGAACTTGTTCAGCAATTAGCAGGGCTAAAGGTTACTGGCATAGAAAAACACAACAATAGAGAGAGAGAAGCTTGTAAAAGTAGAACATTACCTTGAGCCGTGCAAAATTTCCAAAAGCCTGACCAGGCTGAGCACCAGACAAACACCCAAATCCCAAATCCAAACACCAACTTCTCCACAGCAGGTAGACAATAAATAATAATAAAAAATAAAAATAAAACTCTGATTCAAACTCTCCGGGGGGTCCAAAGAGGCAAGCCACACCAATCTGCAGATCTGATCTTTTTCTGGGACAATGGTATCTCCACCTCCACACCCCTGGGAGATCCTCCTATGATGCTATCTCAAGACTTAATTGTCTAGGGGTGAGAAAGGGAATTCTTGAAAATCCCAGCTGCAGGCAGCTGCGCCAGAACTCCCTAAATCCAATCAGAAGAACGGCAGAGGTGAACCAGCCTTGGAACTTAAAGGTAAAGTTGAACTCACAGTAGAGAGGAAGAATTTCTTCGTCCCAAGGAACTTTACCCCCTCTACCGTTAAGAGGGCTTGGCTTGGGGCCAGCCTGGGGCTCAGAAATTGAAAACAACCCGCCTGGCGGGAAGGGGGGGGATTTATCTAGCCTAGTGTTGGAACCACAGCCAAATAGAAGGTTTCCCCCTCCTCGCATTTTCTCACCTCTTCTTCAATCCTGGAACATCTAGGATTGGATTAGAAGCTTTGCTAGACAGTTCCCACCTCAAGATTCTCGTCTTATATCGAAGTTTCTTTGGGCCAAACACCGTAAATAAATATCTAATCACGAGCAGGATCAGACCTGTCCTTAGACGTATCACTCAACCTTGACAACTTTCAGATGGGTGGGCTTCAGCTCCCACTCATCTTTATTTATTTTATCTTATTTATGAGTCTTATATACCGCTTTAAGTGCGAGCACTCTCTAAGCGGTGTACACCAGTAAGCAATGTATATATATATTTACATTGCCCCCAACAATCTGGGTCCTCATTTTACCTACCCCGGAAGGATGGAAGGCTGAGTCTAAAGTGGCTGCAGAGAACATGGGACCTGGTTCTGGATAAGGTTCTCGCTCCTGAAATAAAAACAATTTACGCTTTGCAGAAAGATCGGTGTAAATTTGGCCCGTTTGCTAAAAGAATAAATAAACCAAAGCAATTCATTTTGCTATGAGACAAACAACCATCCGTGGCCACTTTTGGAGTCCAATCTCTGGGGCAGGTTCACACAGAGCATTTTTCTCCCTCCCCCTTTTTCTTCCTGTTAGAGAAAAGCTCAAGCTTGGCCTCATTTATCCAAGGGCAGGCACAACACCTTGTGTCCAGTTGCCATGGCTTCGTGCAAACAAATGGAAGGAGCACAGCTTTTGTTCCTGTCTACACCTTGTCACTTTCTTCCTTTGGGGCTTGTAGAGAACGTTTTCTCCCTGGACCCGGAGTCAATTCTCCAAAGTTTGCTCCCATTCAAGAAGGGGTTTCATCCCTTGGTCTTCAGCCTGAGCACGGTCCTCGGAAACAGCGAGTGATGAGTAGCATCACACCCATGGAGGAGTGAGTAGAAGACCTGGTCTTTAGAAGACTGTTATGGGCTGCTTCGGACAGGGCCAAGGTATGTATGGAAACAAATCCTTTTCCACGTAGTGTCCATCCCTGTGGCTGAGAGGTCAAGGCTGTATTACACAACTGCAGCTCTTCAGTGATGGTACCATCTCCACTGACTCAACACCACCTCCTGTTTGGAATGTAGACACCGTGCTACTAATCTGGTGGGTGAAATCATTGACTACTAGTTCGGACTATCCATACTTCTTTGGAGTTCTTTCTTCATCTTTGGGGTTCTCCTGGCTATGGCTGGAAAAGCAGGGGAGCCCCGTGTCCCAGCCACCTTGCAGAAATCCCGCCTGAAGGCCGAGGAGAAGATTCTGGATCTTGACTTTCAGCTGGAGAGCGTGCAATTTAATGAGGTAGGGAGGTATGCCCTGCGGTTGACTGCAGAAAATCCTCTGGTGGAGGGGTCTGAATCTGGGGTGCAGCTGCGAGTAAATGAAGGAGAAGTGCTTCACACCAACACGGCCACCACCGACGTGGTGGAGCAGACTAACCTCAGCGAAGTCTACCTGTTTGAGAAGCGGAGGTTTCTCTTCATCCTGCCCAAAGGTAAAGAGGAGGGGAAAGATGGAAAGGCGGCAGAATCCACTTTTAGGGGACTAAGGGGCATGGGGGATTTGAAGAAGGGAGCAATCTGAAGGGTAGCATTGTAAAACCAAGGTGCCACAGGATTTTGATGCTCTGTGAAGTCTGGGATTAAGGAGCATGAAGACTGGAAGATTGCATTACAGACCTAGGGTCTCCTCCTTTCTTCTTCTTCCTCCTCCTCTTCCTCTTCCTCTTCCTCCTCTTCCTCTTTCTCTTTCTCTTCCTCTTTCTCTTTCTCTTCCTCCTCCTCTTTCTCTTTCTCTTCCTCTTCCTCCTCCTCCTCTTTCTCTTCTTCTTCCTCCTCCTCCTCCTCCTCCTCTTCCTCCTCCTCCTCCTCCTCCTCTTCCTCCTCCTTCTCCTCCTCCTCCCCCCTGCCTTTCTTGATTGATTATACACCAAAGCCAAACAAGATACAGGGTGTGGGACTACTAGAAGACCTCCAAGGTCCCTTCCAATCTTATTATTCTATATTCTATGATAAAAAAAACACATAATCTTGATTAAGTAAACACTAAAAGGGTATCATACTATCATAAAAATAGACAGTTTGATGTAGTGGTTAAAGGCATTGCAACTTGAAACCAGGACATATATGCATTCTAGTCCTGCCTTGGAACATAAATGCACCTGGTTGACTTACCCAATTTCCCATAGAGGCTACTAGATGCCTCCCAAAAAAAAAAAACCCCGTCCATAAATCAGGGCAGAGAAGAAATGGAGCCCCAAGGAGCTGCCATTCAAAAGAAGATGGCAAATTCTGGGTACACAAAGCCAGTATAATGGTATAAAGGTTAAAGGCACTAGGGTAGAAACCAGGAGGCTGAGTTCTAGTGCTGCCAAATTCATCCCTAGAAAGAGGACAAGTCCAAACTACTTCTTAAAAATCCTGCCAAGAAAACTGCAGGGACTTGTCAAGCAATAGCCAAGATCGATCGACTTGAAGACAAACACACACACACATACACACATTCTCCCACATGAAAAAAGCTCAAAAACACAATACGATTTTATCTTGGCATTCACCTTTATTTTTTCTTGACTAAATACCAGAGCTTTACAGCCCTCTTTACAGAATCAATATATTTGCCCCCAACAATCTGGATCCTCAATTTACCAACCTCGGAAGCATGGAAGGCTGAGTCAACCTTGAGCCTTGTCAGTATCGAACTCCAGACTGTGGGTAGAGTTAGCCTGCAACGCTGCACTTTAACGACTGCGCCATCCTTGCAGAAGCTTTGGGCAAATGAAGGCAAATACAGGTGTCCCAGGATAATGTTGCAGGATCCAATTTGAGTTGGTCACCAGGACCGAAAGTTTATTCTTCTTCCAAGCTTTGGGCTTGTGTTGGAGTCCATCCTCAGGGAACTTTTCTCTCTCCAGAATGTGTACACTGGGCTGTTCTACGTGTTGTATTTCTATGATGAACACATCCTGGAGAGAGAGAGACGTTCCCTGAGGATGGGAAGAAACTTGGAAAAATAAACCATTGGTCCCGGTGACTGACTCAAATTGGATCCTGCTATTGGCAAACTCTGTAACAGAGACAAAGAAGAAAAATCAGGTTATTCCACTTTTTGGCTGAAAGGTCACCTGCCTTTGGCTTCCATCAGGCTACCTGAAACATATCTCCAGTCAAGGACTGCCTGAACTAGCTTTGTTAATTTCTATCCCGCTTTTCTTCTGTGCTGTGTATTTAGCCTGAGGGTAGGGGTGGATCCAGTGGTGGGATTCAGCCGGTTTGCACCAGTTTGGTAGAACCGGTAGCTAATTTTTTGTTGCCCAGGCCCAGAATGGACTTCCGGAAGTGGCATCCACACAGAGAACTGATTGTTCACCTATTTGAATCCCACCACTGGATGGATCACACACTGCTCATCCTCCTGGGTCCTTCTTGTAGCTATTTTAGGGGGCCAGGCTGACTAAAGAGAAGAATAAAGGTGCTTTCAGTGACAAGAGTCCTCACTGTGAGATGGGTGGATGCCTACGTTATTGCAATAAAGGAATTTAAATGAAGGAGAATGGGAGCAAAAGGAGAATTCACTTAATCCAATTGTATATACTGTATATAAAAGTGGGAGAAAGCCTTACAGAAGGCACAAAGGGGGCTCCCACAATCTGATCAATCAAAACAGAGCTGGAAGGGAGATTGGAGGTCTAGTCCAACCCCTCACTCAAGCAGAAGACCCTATACCAAACAATGCCAGGGATGAAGCATCCACAACTTCTGAAGGCAAACTGTTCCAATAGCTCAATCTTCCACTTGCACTAACGGATTATTTTCTCCCCCACCCTTTTTTTTTAAAATGTAGGTTTCTGCAAAAATGATAAAAACCACGATGCTCGGCTGCGGATTGAAGCTTTACGCCAGCGTGGGTCCTTGTTGCTGAAGACCAGCGTGAAGACGGGGGAAGCTTTCTTTGCTATTTACCCCCGCACTAACCAGCCTAGAATGAACCTCTTTGCTAGCAAGGATGAAGATTTATACCGCTATAGTGATATTATGGTGCTGCTCCGGGCTGGTAGCGATGACTTGACCATGCATTGTGGAAGGTTGGCTTACACAGTATCGTTCCATGAACACCGACCTGGAGCCAAGAGGGAGATACCCATTACGCCACGCCATCTTTCTCCTTTGGTCCCCCGCAAGGAAGATAAGACACAGGCGGAGCTGGGAAGCTCTTATCTGGCACCTTTACAGTTGTTGGGGGTCCAGCCAGAGAGGGCCCCAGGCAGTGCATCTGAACGACCATCTCAGCTGTCACTGACTGCAGAATCCCATGTTCGTGGGGTAAGGCGTGTTTGAGTATCAGGGTTATTCTGAATTTCATTTTATTTTATTTCCCGTCGGGGGGGGGAAGTGAATGCAAGTGGATCAAAGGGGTGGTTTTCCTCTCCTTTGGGAGAGAAAGCTTGGCTGTCCAATGGAATGAATGAATGCATCATGGTTGGTCTTGGAGAAGCAAATAGAATGAATTGGGTGTAGGCCAGTTAAGAACTTCTAAGGGATGTGGGAATGGCCTTGGGAAATAGAAGGGAGGGCTGCAAAGGGACCACCGGTGGGTAAAAGGTGGCTCAGCCCACAGAAATGTTTCAGAAAGGATCTGTCAAGCACCAAGGAAGTCAGGAAATCCAGGCAATTCAAATGTGTATAAAGATTTATTGCATGCTTAAACTCTCTACAAGAATCTGGACTACTAACGGTTAAAGGAAATTAGTGGGAATTAAGAATAGAAGGAATTCAAGGTGGGCTGGACTTAGATCTCTTATGGCAGACATGTCAAACACAAGGCCCGGGGCCCGGATGTGGCCCGCGAAGTGGTTTCATGTGGCCCGTGAAGCCATCCTGGAAACAGTGAGGGAACGGCCCCCGCTGCCTTGGCGCTGGCCCTGGCGGCTGGGAGCCAATGTACAATTTTGTGGTGGCCATCTTGGCACTTGTCCCGGTGGACCATGCCTTGGCAACTTGCCCTGATCCCACCCCCTTCTGCCAGAGATCCTCAGATCTGTCCCACTCCTGCCCAGGCCCCCATAGGCACCCTTGATGCGAATGATGTAGAACGGGGCAAGCTCACCCAGTAGGCTGCACCCACTCTGGCCACACCCACCCGGCCCTCCCAGGGCAACCGCAATGCTGATGCGGCCTTCAGTGAAATTGAGTTTGACACCCCTGTCTTATGGGCATGAAGGAACTCGAGACTGATGATGCATTTGACCTCTCCCTCTGGCTCTGCCTGGTCATCTCCTACAGCATCCTCTCCAGTTTTCTGGAGAGTCAAAGGAAAGGAGGAAAGAAATACTTTCGGTCTTCAAAGATTCTGTTCGTGCAACCTTAGAATTAAAAATAGAAGCATCTTTGGTGCCCCCTGTGCTTGGGTGTTCTCTTGCAGACATTTCATTACCAAACTAGGTAACATCATCAGTGCCAGTAGGGAGTGAGGTTTCATATTGGCCCAATTTCCCGATTCATATGGCTTGGGGAAGTCTAGGAGTTGCAGTCCACCCATCTTCAAGTTTCCAAGATTGAGAAACACTGCCCCAAGGGATTCAATGGTGGGATTGTGGCAGCCATTTTATCTTTACGGACTTCCTCAGCCAGATACCCTTTCTCTCTTCTTAGCGCTCACCATACAGCCTGCTGGAGTCCCAGAAAGAAGTCCCCGATGAAGACATTCAAGACTTTTCAGAAGAAGAACAATCCATCTTAGCAGCTTCTTCTTCATCCTCCTCCTCCTCCTCTTCTTCGCTTGCACCAGCTTTGCCAAAGCAGTTGCCAAGCGATGCTAGTCTCCATCTGCCTTCTCCAGGAGATGTCCCAAAGCTAGCATCTTTCTTAGGACTGCTGGTAAGTCAAATATCTGCACAGTCAACTGTGAAAATGCAACTTTTGCCTGCTTCTCTTTATCTGGGTCCAAACAAGGTTAAGTTAGCAAGGTCCAGAAGCTGCTCCTTCTTGGTTAAAGTGCCATGAATTTGTTAGTTTGATTTTTGTGTGTATTCAAGGGCAGGTTTAATTCCTTCTACTGAGAGCTTTGTAAGTCCTCCACAGTGTATTCTAGTCATTGCTAAAGTCAGCCGGTGGCTCTTTCAGAAATCTTTTTGTTACCTGGGCCTGGGTTTAACCCAAAAGGTGCCAAGGATGGCTTCCAGAGACTTGCAGAAGTGTTTTCAAAATGGAAATGTTTTCTGGGGCTGGAAAGCAAAAGGAGTCAGCGCCTGATCAGAAAGTCATTGTGTAGTTTATTTATTTTTTCTTAGGTGGAACACAAGCTGAGGAACAGACTGGTGCTTTAATGAGTAGCAGACAAATTCTCTGGAGAATTTTTGAAGGATATGCACAGTCTTTATATTTTATATATTATATATATATTATTTTATTTTATTATTTATTTTATTATTTTATTCCCTTGAATTTTAAGTTCACTTGATGGTTTTCATTCTGAGGCTGTGATCTGCATCCGAAAAAGAATATTGCTTGAACTGGCTTCATGGTTAATAACATCAAATTGGAGCCAAGAGATGAAGAATGTCAGACTTTAATGTAGTCTAATTCTTGTCCAAAAATACAGATCCACCAAAATCTTCTTTGCTTTGACATCTTCTAGATGAGATGGCTACAAAACATTCCACTGGCTCTAAATGTGTTAAAATTGACAGACATCCATATTTAAATATTTGCCATTATTTTAATGGTAATTGTAATATTTATGACCGCTCAAAGTCCTAAACAGCAAGCACGGATATAATCAAGAAGTTTAGCAACAACAACAACAACAACAACAACAATAGAGTTTGGCAGATAAAACAAGCCAATAGACCTTGTAGAAAACAATTAAAAACTCTAAATGTATTCATTTATTAGTGAAAGCCTTGCTTTATAGCCATAGTTTAAAACTGTCTGTTACTGCTATAATTTTGGGATTTTTAATTTAAATATTTACATATTCAAAGTTATATGTTAGCCTCTATTTTGATGTTTGCTCTTAGATGTTTTACGGGGTCCTTTTGAAAGGGGATTGATAAATTTCAGCTCAAAGAATGGGTGACGAGAATCTTGCCTGATGGTGAATGAAAATATGGTCTTGTTCTGCTTTTATAAGAGTGACACTGATTGTGAGCTCATTGCTGGATGGCTGAGCATGGACAAAAGCATACACATGTTTCTTAAAGTCTGTGGATTAGCCTCTGATGGCGCAGTCCCCATATTGGGGCAATGATCTACATGGCAACTTCTTTTTTTTTTTTTAACTTTTAATAAGGCCAGTTAGTTCCACCATTGTAAATAATTCTTGTTCTGTCTTTGCCTTCAGCTTCTTCGCTCTTTTGTTTTTCCTAGCTGCAGAAAGGGTAACATCTTTTTCTTAAATTAGCACCCACTTCCTATGTTTAGAGCACTGTTTTAGGAGATGTGAAGCTGAAGTTAGCAATGATGTTTTAAATTATTTTTTCTTCTTCTTCTTCTTCTTCTTCTTCTTCTTCTTCTTCTTCTTCTTCTTCTTCTTCTTCTTCTTCTTCTTCTTCTTCTTCTTCTTCTTCTTCTTCTTCTTCTTCTTCTTCTTCTTCTCCTTCCTCTTCTTCTCCTCCTCCTCCTTGTCCTTTCCCTCTTCCTCCTCCTCCTCTTCCTCCTCCATAGTATTTTAGATTTTATATTTCATGTTTTGTCTTTTTGTCTCTTATATTTTTATCGAGGTGTGATGTGAATGTGCCATAGGATAAATAATAATTCTTTGCCCCTGCTTCTGTCTCCGCCTTTGGCTAATATGAATTATTACTTCTACATACTGGGAGAAGTATTTGGGAATGTATAAATTGTATGGCTGGTGAATTCTGGGAGTGGAAGTCCACACATCTTCAAGTTGCTAAGATCAAAAATGACCAAATAGGAGCCCTAGATTTACAAGGGAAGACATTTTGATCAATGGCAGCACCAACAATTGTCTCACTCTAATTCTCATCCAAATTACCAATTTTCAGAGTACATCAGCTTCAATATCCATCTTCGGTTCAAAACCTATAAGATACGATTGAATTGTCAGATAAATTAACTTAAAAGGTCTAAATTACAATAAAATGATCATGGTTTGAAAAAAAGATTTATCTTTGGGGAGCAATGAAACCAGTGGTGTGTTTGTCAAGACGAGACATTTTAAGTCAGCTCTTATGAAGGCATCCATGTGCAATAAAACTCCAAAGTCGGTAATTTGTGATATCACATGCCAGTCATAAAATGCAAACAATTATAGATTCTTCTTTAATTTATTTGGGGTTTTTCAGCCGAAGAACAAACAAAACCAAACAAGTAAAAACACTTCAGTCACTTAACCCTGAGTTTTGCAATTATTGTATGAGAAAAATCTTTTTGACCAAAAATACTCATGTGAAGTAGGGAATGTCTTTTCCTTCCTTCCTTCCTTCCTTCCTTCCTTCCTTCCTTCCTTCCTTCCTTCCTTCCTTCCTTCCTTCCTTCCTTCCTTCCCTCCCTCCCTCCCTCCCTCCCTCTTTCTTTCTTTCTTTCTTTCTTTCTTTCTTTCTTTCTTTCTTTCTTTCTTTCTTTCTTTCTCATCCTGGAGATTGGAGGGTTTGGAATAATGTTTTTGAAGTACAAAAGATAACACATTTGGAAACATTTTGAAATTGGGAAAAAAAATCAGAGCAAAAGATCCTGGATCATGGTGGAGGCTTTAATGAGTTTCGGTGAAAAGTACAGTGTTGGAACAGGTATTTCTCCAGACATACCTTTTTTCGTCTTGTCTTTTATTAAAAAAAAATTCCCTTCCCTCCAGATGCATATCAGTTTCAAATATTAGGAGTATTTGATGAGAACATGATCTAAATTAAGACACTGAAAGTGGCAAGATGACTCTGTCACTACTAAGTGCGAAAATAAAAAGGAAGGAGGAGAAAATAGGTGTAATAATGAAAGAAAAGAAAAATAAAATGCTTTCCAGGAAAGAGAGAATTGCAAAACCAGCTCAACAAACAGATTATAATCTGAAGGGCTGAAAGTCTTTGTTCTCGCCTCTTTGTTTGAAGAAAACTCAATCAAACTCAATCTCCAGAAAAGCACGGTAGGAATTTACTAGCAAACCCTTTTTACGTTCATGGTAAACATCTCCAACAATGATTTGGCTTGACCTAGAATTAACTTCATGTTGTCTTCAGATCTCCTTGTTGATCCTTCTTTTGTGCAGAAGGAGAGAAAAGTACATGGACCAGCTTGGAAAAGCAACCTGTGGCTCCAGAGGGGTTAAACCCCACAGGAGTGGAAAGAGGTCACCTTTGAAAACTCCAGGAGATAGAAAAGACAGAATGATGGATGAGGAATTTCTGGGCAACTGGTTGTGCAGTAATTGACCAACTTCTAAACAATGCCATGGAGGTCAAATGTGGAAGTAAGCAGGTTGATGTCCCACAGGGTGCTTTTTCAAAAGGCAATTGGACTTTCTTGTTTTTTTTTTCCCCTTGAAAATGTTTTGCTTCTCATCTAAGAAGCTTCTTGAGTTCTTCAGTTCTTCAGTTCAGAAATGAAGACGCTTCTCGGATGAGAAACGAAAGGTTTTCAAGGAAAACAAAAACAAAAACCAAGAAAGACCAGCTGCCTTTTGAAAAAGCACCTTTGGGACAACCATGACCTGGATGACTGAGAATCTCCATGGACAAGCAGGTTGATGGTTCAAGGTAGGAAGACATCCAGTGTGGCAGAAAAGCAGAACTACACACAAATGGATCCATCGCCACCTCTTTATCCCGGCTAAATGCAGGGCCCCGATCCTTCGCCCGTGTCTGCAATGCAGCTCTTTGTGCTGTTCCCTGGTTTGGTTGGTCACGGGGATCCGACGGTCTCAAGCTTTTCATGGGGAATTCATAGTATGTGCTAGGAATCTGAGGTCCTGGACCAGAATGTGCTGCAGAGGGGAATTAGAAAGGGATTAGCGAAAGCCGCAGCTGAGGCGGGGAGAGCAAGGGCTAACAATTTTTTTTTAAAATTCTTCATCAAATATGTCCAGATAATGTATTTACAGGCATGAGCAGGGAGGCTGAGCTGGTTGCAAAGGCGCCACTTGTGGAAAAGACATTTGAAATGAGTCGGTTATTACGATGCACAAGAGAACTTGAGCGTGAAGCAAAGACATCTTATCCTAACCCTTCTGCACACTGGAATAGATTAAATTGTGGCACGAGAGTTTTGTGCCATCAGGACTAAAATCTTGCTTCTTTCTAATGGGTTTGCCCTAATACAGGTAGTCCTCGACTTACGTTCATTTAGTGCAGTGGTTCTCAACCTGTGGGTCGGGACCCCATTTGAGGTCGAACGACCATTTCACGGGGGTCGCCAAACAACACCGCCATTTTTTCCCCCTTTTCCTTAGCTGTGCTCCTCCTTTTTATTCTATTGGCTTTTGAAAGCCAATAGAATAGACTATCTTGAATAGAGTCTAATTCTCTTGGCTTTCAAAAGCCAATAGGAATTGTCCAGGCTGTCTCTGCCCTGCTGAGCCTGCCAAAAGTCCCATTCTGCAAACGGTGCTGCACCAGTTGAGTAGTCCTCGACTTACGACTGGTTGAGTAGTCCTCGACTTACGACCGGTTGGGGGTCGCGGCATTAAAAAGGTTGAGAACCACTGATTTAGTGACTGTTCGAAGTTACAATGGCACTGAAAAAAAGCGACACGGGACTATTTTTCACACTTAGAACCATTGCAGTATTCCTGCAGTCACGTGATCAAAATTTGGATGCTTGGCAACTGACTTGTATTAATGACGGTTGCAGAGTCCCGGGGTCACGTGATCCCGTTTTGTGACCTTCTGACAAGCAAAGTCAATGGGGAAGCCAGAGTCCCTTAA